AAATGGCGACATCTCGTTCTGAGGAGGTTGGGTTGTTGGCCACGATGATTTCTAAGGGTAGATCGGTAACTTTAACCTTGAACGTGCACTGCGGTGAGTTGCTGTGTAGTGTTTGGATAACTACACGACCGAAGTTGGTCATAGTGTCCGTAGAACTTCACTAAGGACCCCGAGAACGCTCTCACAGTGATCTTTCCCAGGTTGTAGAACTTGACTGATGTTTGATGATTTCTATGAGTGGAGTCTTGGAGCTGTTTTGGCAGTGGGGATTCCAAGACGATTGATTATACGCTGCCACTAACGTACGATCTCAGCTTGCAAGGCTAAATTCTGTATTTTTGGCCGCCATGGTTTTTGTGGTGACCATGTTCCTTAGCGGTTAGCGCTGGTTTCCAGCCTGTGACCTCTCCGCTGGAAGGGCCGTTTCCGCTGGTGGCTTAAAGTCATCACCGGCATACGATCGTGCCGCTTTAGGCCGCCCCTCGCACCTCCAACTCGAGAGAAAGTGGCATTTACTTCACGTTGAGCACGCCCTGTTGATTAGGTACCTATTTGAATTGGTGCGGGTCGTGAGTGGGCGGGGCTGGGTCCCTGAGAAAAAGTGCTTTGCGGTCTTGGTAGAGGTGGTGGTTGGGAATGGCGAAATGAGCGTGATAGTTCAATCAATCAATCTTTCATTTACTTATGCCATTTCGTGTTTTTACATTGAATTGAATTACATGTACATCAAATGTTCTACATTTGTTTCCTTTTTCCTACTACTTTATTCGTATTTTTCTCCACTTCCCCTTTCGTCTAGTATCTCTTTTCTGCTACCTCTTGATCTTTGATCTTTCACCCTCGTTACATGCCCATATCATCAGAGGATCCGTAGGTATACATAGGTACCTATTTTCCTCTTTCTCTCCACAAAATCTGCATTTCCTTTCTTCTTCTTCTCTTCATTTCTCCTTTCCTTAGACATTTCGGCACTCCTCCATTATCAACTCCTGCATCTCCTCGCATCTTTGCCCCTTTCTGTAAGTTTATTTTGCATGCGAACTATGGGTGTCGATAACGATGCCCCTCGAATAACGAGCAACCTCTGACTTAATCCTTCTTTATACTGTGCCCTGGGCAAGCGGCTCTGCCCAGCTGAGGCCGCATTCCGGGTTCCATTGAAGTTCACCCAGTGCCATTGTGGTCGAATGCGAGGACCAGTGGATCTTGGACTAGTTGGAAAGGAACGCCCCTCTCGTCTCTAGAATATCCAAGATGATGGCTGGCGTTCCACTACGAATCCTCTGTAGGTTTCAGAACCTCGATCCGTACTGACTGGGGCTTGCTCGGAAGATAGGCCAGGTGGAGGCGGCGGTCGCATTAGTAAAAGCGTCATACGAGATCAGTTGTAAACTCTGGATCCTTTGAGGAACGAAGAGTACACCTTGGTGGAACTCAGACCTTAGACCCCATGTGGACGAGGCTGCCTACGGGCTGGGAAGATCTCACGATAGCTCGGCGCAGGTATAAGGGCTTAAGCGAGGATCATGGAGGATCTTCTGTGGGGGGGTCTTCTTAAAAACTTCGTAAGATCCCTTTGAAAGACCCGGGGGGGGGGGGCGTAAAATGGGGACACTTAAGCTTTCATGTGGCAGATATGGCTCTCGCATGTCTCCTGAAAACACACTTTCCAAGCTCTAGAGACTACGTCATTTCGAACCCACCTAATAGGGGGTCAGTGTAAGGCCGATCGACTGGAAAATAAAGTGTTTTCCGAGGGATCTTTGAGATGGGAGGTGAACGCTTTCAACCCATTTAAAGCTGCAGGACCAGACGGAAAATTCAGTGGCAACAAGCAACTGGACGCACACAATACATTATATACAGTGCCACAAGTGTCCCAAAACATTGCTGGATGAAGTAGTTCAAACTTACTCGTGGTAGTTCCAATAGCTTTGAATGTTGTCCTAACCTCATTTTTTTTTAAAATCTCTCAAATTTAATTTAAATAAAAACTAATCATTATTGATGATTGAAAGGCTTTAAACAAAGAAAATCATTATTAATAATATAAAAGTGGTTACATTCAGTCAATTTGGGGACTCTATCGCACATCTTACGTCTTAAGAACGGGGAAACTTCATCGGAGATTGCCAGTGGTTCCGAGGATTACATTCGCTTCTACAACTTGAGATTGGCCGCTCGAGCATGAAGATAACACTAGAAAGGTTTGTCGCTTAATTCGTACATCTCGCTACCTTTTCTGACGGGTTTTAGTTTACAACTTTGTTTGTCGTAGATGCTCGCTTTGACGGCCAGAGTTTCGCAACAGCTTCTTCAAACATAAAATCGACAGCGGGATGGTTGGAAGGTGGCCTAAAGAAGTCTAATTGGAGCGTAGCCGAGATCGCAATAATTCAACGTTTTATAAACTATTATAATCTTAGTGTCGACACTCACGTTCAGTTCGCCGGACGATTTCGGTCGAAAAGACAACGACTGGACGGTCAGTTTTCTCTGTACACGTACAGGCGGCCGATGAGAGTTGTGAAAATCGCTTGGCCGGCCGGGGTGACTGAGCGTAAGTGTCAAGCTTAAGAACTCGCAACGTTTTCGTAGAGCATGGCTAATTTGTTTAAATATTCGGACTGTCGGCCCGGGTTGAAAGTTGCTAGTTCTTAGAGTAGTTGGATAAACTTCTTCTTTTATTACCTAAGTAGTTATGTGGTAGTTTTGAAAGCGACCTCATATGTAATTAGAGAAAATGAGACGTATAGCCTGTTGTAATATACTAGAGACATCGCGCATGCTAGCAGAACAATTGTTTAGAAACAAATTGTGCTACTAATTAAGTGCTTAGTATTACTCCTTCAATTCTGAATGTTCACCATATAAAGTCATCTGCGAAATGCTGTATTTTTGAGACAGTAGACGAGGAAGAGATACCAAAGCATTAAATTAGCACTTACTGTTGTACCTACCTTTTGTTATTCTCTCTGCCGTGTCTTGCTCAGAGTAGCAGGACTAATTGTAAATGTCCTAATGAATTCCTCGAGTCATTCGGTGCAATGTTCTATTAAGTTGCCTTAGAGCTAGCAGGATCGGGGATGTAATTTGTGAATGAGAGGAGAAGTTGTAACTATACATCATCCACCTTCTTATATTCTGCTCATCTTCCGTACCCTTAAAGCTGTATCAGTTGGAGTACTCACAGTAGGATCTAATATCTAGCAGGGGAAGGAAATAAATTTGTAATTGGTAGTTAATTACACACCATCCACCTGCTTATATTCCGTTATTGTTAGTAGTTAGTGGTATGCACACCAGGATCTAACAATGTCTCTTAAAGGAGGGGGAAAAAATGGTCAATTTTTTTAATCTAAATTACGCCCATATTCCGCTCCCATATATATCTGTTATATATCAGTTGGAGAGTACTCAGACCGTTCTTGAGATATTACGGTTTGTCAGAATTTTTGGTCGAAATTTCAAACGGTAATATCTCGAGAATGGTGCGTCGTAGATATGCCTTCTGACCGCTCGTTGGAAAAGTCTCGACCAGCGCTATCGATTGGTGCTGTCAGAATTTCGACAAAAAATTCAAAGGGCTGTAACTTTTGATCTAGTAGCCCGATCTTGGAACTGTTTGAAATTATGGATTCTACAGGCCACATTCTATAAGAAAATATTTTTTTCCGGTCGATCTGAGACAATTTTTTTCTTGTGCCAAAAAAAAGGCAGTGTTATACCTTCCTTTTTTCCCAAAAATCGACTGCACCAAAATTTCTCGGGAAAAAACTTTTTCTTATTAATTTTGGTGCGTAGAATCCTAAACGGTTCGTACTTTTTCGATTAGACGTCTCAATCAAAAGTTATGGGCAAAAAACCAATTTCGGAAAAAAAATTCAAAGGGCTGTAACTTTTGATCTAGTAGCTCGATCTTGGAACTGTTTGAAATTATGGATTCTACAGGCCACATTCTATAAGAAAATATTTTTTTCCGGTCGATCTGAGACAATTTTTTTCTTGTGCCAAAAAAAAGGCAGTGTTATACCTTCCTTTTTTCCCAAAAATCGACTGCACCAAAATTTCTCGGGAAAAAACTTTTTCTTATTAATTTTGGTGCGTAGAATCCTAAACGGTTCGTACTTTTTTCGATTAGACGTCTCAATGAAAGTTATGGAACTCGAAACTAAATTTCGAAAGAGAATCAAAGGGCTGTAACTTTTGAACTAGTAATTTCGAGAAATTATATATATATATATATATATATATATATATATAGATATATATATATATATATATAAAATAATAGAAATGCATAACGACCTGTACAGTATAACAAACAAACATGATTCAGGTAACGGTACGTACTATATGGTCTAAGAAGGGTACATATAAAAACAAAGCTTGGAGCACTCTACGCTTAAATAACAAACATTAGCATAATTCAAATAAGTATTAATAAATTTTGACATGAAATTCAAAGATTGGTGGTTAGTGCAAGAAAGAATAAAATGATTTCTACCTGTAAATTCACTTTTCAAACAAAATAAACATTGAAAAAACCGGCCCTCCGTTACTCGAGAGCTTGGAT